GACCGCGCTTGATCTTTTTTCAATCGCTACCTGCCTCGATAAACATCGCTCGCCGTGGTAACCTATCTGGTGACATACGTAACACATGTCTCAACCAACGTAATCTATGGAGGTCGATCACTTGCTCCAGTGGACGACCTCGATTAACTAAAACTCTACGCCTAACCTCAGTATTGCTCGTCCAGTGTCTCCACCAGACTCATGCAATGCTACGTAAACAGCGGTGTTCGAACGCTCACGTTCAGGAGCGACGGGTAGAACAACTAAAAATCATACTCTCACCCAAACTGTTTGTGTGTGTGTTTGTGTTTAGACAGAAGAACAACGAACCGCAGTCTGTCTGCTAACCCAATTAGTGCGAATAGATTCACCTTTTGTGCTATTGCTCTTGGTGGTGGTGGTGGCTGCAAGACGATGGTGGGGCACACTTGACCAATCCCCTTCTTGAATAAAACCTGACTGGGCTCAAATTGGGTGCATGTGGTTTAACGACAGTGTGCCCGTCCCATCTGACACACTCAAGCGAGCCAGCTAACCACAGCCAGGTACCACGTTCTATCCACAAATGAGACCGTGATCACTTGCATTAACAATATGTGTTCCTCTCCCTTGCCGTATGTAGTGATGAGCAATTCCTGTAAAACAACAAATGTGCGATCTCTAGGATTCATCATACGAACGCACTCGTTCTCTGGCTGTATTGGTGGTATTTCAACTCGCAGTGCTATGTGAACCAGCTAGGGCGGTACCGGATCATCAAGGTTGTATGAACGTTTCGGTCGGGAACTAGGTACACACGTGATGAGCATTCGTCTATGTGAGACTTACCGTGGCACAAATCGGTACGCCCAGATTGGGAGATTCCTGACCACATTTGATGATCTCCTGTTGTCGCTTTCGTATCCCGGGCAGAATGGATCGAGTGGCTCTGGTTGGACTTGGTTTGTTCGGATCTACATAGGTCTGCGGTTCCAATCCGTCCGGACTATCCCGGGGCATTGCATCTTGTGGTAGTTGTGCCCAACGCTGTTGTCTTCGATGCATGTTCCCCGGTGGGCTACGATTGACTGCATTCAGTCGGAGCGGATTCAGTGCCCAGTCCGGTGTGAGACACATTCCGCGAACATGCCCTTCCGCACTGATCACCTGATCGAGACAACGAACGGTCAAGCAAACAGAATACAAGATCAGCTGGATTTTTCACACAATGCTCCATCATCGTCAAAGATAGTTATTTCCAAATGAAAAACAATGAAGTCTACCTACAAAATGAGCGAACTTTCTTTTCATCTTGTTGTCCACTTCACATTAGAACACTTTCGTAGGTCACCTGTTCCGGTTCATTGATTGCTAAAACCGAGCAAAAACAGTTGAGAAGTGTTGCATGTGATCAGGTAAAAACTAGTGAAACTTGTGAAAGAAATGGCGATTGCTACCAGAATTCAGAGTTATGATGTGAGTGCCGATTTTCTTATCACCTGAAAAGGTTCCGGTTGTTTTACGGACGAGAATTAATTATCGATCGAACCGATGACGCAAACAAGCTATCCACTTAGACGGCCAAATGTCTCAGATAGAGCAGTCTAAATGTCACTGATTTCGATCTTTCAGAATCAAAAGATTCGGGAATAAATGATCGAACAGAATTTTTCACTCAACCTAATTTTCTTTTACCCGATGAGTTTTGTAGTTTTACAAGCAGAGATGTGAGGAAACTCGAACTGTTGAGTAATACTTTTGTGTGATCTAAGGAGGGGGAAGGAGAGTTCGCGATGCTCGGGTGGCATCAAGATTGATGTCATCACTATCATGGGAACAACAGTTGCATCACAAATGTCCATCACCCAGCTCAACTTGGCAGTAGAGAAGCTCCTAAATGGGATTATGCATGTTTTTAGTTATGAGGAATACGCGAGTCGGAACATATGATCAGAAAAGTGGAATTTTCAGAAATAGATGCTTATTCATGTTGTGATCTTTTAATCTTGGCACCCAAGATCAGGCACGTTTAATTGACAATCATGCAGCCTAGAAACTACGTAGATCGAAGTAGACAAGAGATAAATTACTGTCCATGCCTAAAGCATTAATACATGTGATAAATATAATGAAACTCCATTTGATCATAAAGAAAATAATTGAGTGCCTGACAAGCGGCCAGTACTGTATGATAATACATACATATACTATGATATAATGTGTGGCGTAATTCGTTAACTGTGTTTTTGACAACAACGATGTCCATGGGATCGAGCATGATCAACTGTTGTTAGCGGAATATGGCTCGGTGTGATTGTTTAGTTGGATGGGTTGAAATACATGTCATATCAACAGACATTGTGTGTGCATCTGTGTACATGACTGAAGCACGGAGGGATTAGGCGCTTGTGGGACTGATTCTCATTCCTCCAGTCAAGGCCTCCACAGAAGGCTGTAGAGATCTGCGTGATGAATGATGCGCGTTGAAAAATCGCTGAGTCTGGAAACACGCTTCGACCCAACAACTCCTATTAAGTCAGATTACTATACGGAGATCTTGAGTTATAAGTGGAACAATGTGACATGTATGATTATGTTCAAACGGCCATTCGCAAGCAATCCAAAGTTAATTGAGTCCTCAGATGTTCCTCACAAACAGCTTATCTCAACTGATATGGAAACAGGCACAAGATTCGACCTACGTGGAACGATTGACCAGTCCAATGGCCTCGTCAGTTGTCGTTCCGAACAGAAATATTTCAAGTCGTCCGATCGTTCACATAAGTACGTTTTTCCACTTTGTTCTCTTATCACACTGAACTGCAAATGACTCATGTGGTAGTAAATAACCGCACTCCAAATGTGCGAACCTGTTGGGCAAGTAGAGGCGTTCATCTACGTATAATGACAATTGTGCATGATGTGATCGGGACAGAAACCACGTTTGACAGGTTGCTCCGGCTTCAGATTTAATGCTCTCTCCTCCGTCTTTGTCAAACATCGGACTGTTCTGCCATGCACCGGACCACAATGTAAAACTAAACAATTCTTCAGGCTTGTCGGTGCAGAAGGTTGATTATTGCAGGCTTCGAGTGGAAATACAAATACTCCCTGATAGCCTATTTTTCCCTAATCCCAGAGATGCGCTCGGTTAAAGGGAGGACCGGTGTATCAGCCCGAAGCTACTTGCGAAAATATTTATTAAGTCAACTCTCAAAGTTCAGACTGCTAAAGAAAAGTCTGATCGACGACCGAAACAGGATCTAATCTTAATCAGAGCTCTATTTACAGCCAAAATATGTTGCACTATGATGCGGATTACGGTGGGGTACAGCAAACACAGTCAGCTTGCGATTGATCACATTAAAATTGATTTTCCTAATCTTCCGCTGTTCTGATAATCGTGGGGGGGTGGGAAGCTAAACTCAGTAGTGTTTTTTTATAGGTAGCTCATCTACCCCGAGTGATGGCTGATTCAGATTAAAAGCCCCCGGGTATTCTGATTCGAATCCCGGCAGATTTGGTGGTTCTTTTTGGTGCAGTGGAAGTAATATACTCGGTCTGTCTGACGAGCATGCTTTAAAACCAAATGTGATCTGCACAGAAACGTTTATGTTCATTGTAAATGCCAGTAAACGAAAAAGAAAACTGGGGAATGAGAATCCAGGTTGACAGAAAAATTCAAGTCCGGGAAGGTTGTGCTTGGTATCACTGGTTTATTGATAATCAATGATTGATGTTGGTTGATGCACTCGACTTTAGATTGAGCAAAGGAAACATCAAGCACCAGTACAGATGCGAACCCTGCATCAGGCCAACAGAAAGCTAAATCAAACCAAAAATATTGAAGGTTATTATAACCAGTAACCAGTTGGTAGCTATCATTCAAAGTTGTAAAGAACTTTTTGTCTGATAAGAACCTCATCAGATTCGTCCTAGTCTCGATAATGATCCAGAATAGGTGCTTGAAACGGATTTCATGGTTTTATAAGTTTTTTTAAATTTCCTTAAGCAGTTACATTTTACGATCACACTGTATAAAGTACTATTCGTTACCTAAGTGTAATCGATTCTTTAAAACGTATTATACCATCGGCACTGGAGAAGCCCAATTTTAGACATAGCTATTGGTTATCGTGGTCCCATAAAGGCTAAATGTCATTACTGGGAATGAAAAGGGCAGCATTCGTAAAGCAAATACTTTGTTACGCTGTTGGTGATTCAAACTTGACATTAACTTGATCGATCGATCGATTGATCGATCGGGGAACCAAGATTGCGCAGTTCACCGTGCATGTATGTGGTTTTGTGATGACCTCGATTGATCGAAACGGATAGAAGGATTCCATTTTGAAGACGATTCTGCGTTCAACTAAGCTGAGAACACACCTCCTCACATTTGGACTTTGCAGACTGGGAGAAAATAAAGAGAGGGTATTGTGTTGAGGTCAAACAGTCAAGGTCAAATACTTATGTAGCAAAGAGATAGGGTCCAGTATGTCTCTACTTCTTCGCTTCTTCGGATCAGGACGTGTTGCGTAAGCGTTGGCAATGGCTTGTGTAACGGTAGCCTGAGAACGAACGCGCCGTTCGTTCACAGTCTGTGTTCTAATTGCAACAAAGGTGGGCCTTTTGTGACTTTTAGACTATATTTGACTGATTTAGCAAGCTTTTAAAACTAATAACCGATGAAGATAATTTAAAACAGCAAATTAAGAGAAATGCGATCCCACCATTAAGGTCACACAAGTGAACCGCTGGTCCACACATAGAATTGGTTTAGCAATGCCGATAACCACATTCGATGAGTTTGATGAATTCTGTGTTCAGTACAGGATAAACGGAATGAAGATTGAGTTGCAGTTGAAGAAATCAAAAATAATATAACAAACACTGCTAACCGGTTTTGCTTAATGAGACAAAATCAAGTGGGTGGACCTAGCACAAAGCACGGTACAGTTCTTCACACCGAGAATGAATTCGAGTCGGTGACGCGTGATTGAGCATCCCAACCCGGATGGACATTAAATGGGTATGATGTTCGTTCGACCTTAGGTGGTATATAGATCAGTAAGCCCCGGGAATTTTTCTCTCCCCTAATTTTTGTGTCAGTAAACAGTGAATGGCATTAAAAACCTCCTGGTGGGTGGAATCGGTCGACTAGTTAGCCGCCATTGGTACGCTAAAGAGGAGAAATTTGGACGGTGGCGATGGAATGTGAACACAAACCCCGGGGGACGATATGGTAAAGAAAAATACCATTTGGCCACCCCACCCTAGCCCCACCATCACCACGATCATCCACCATTCAGCATTTTGTTATCCATGTATGCTCAAGCGTGCGTATCCCGGATGATCACCACAGGGTATGATCAAGTAATCGAACCATTCGCCCAGAATTACAATTTCTATTTGACAGATTGTAGACCCATTCAATGCATCCATTCACATTCTTGTATACATGCTATTTGTCTAAATGTATCGGTGTGTAGTAACCAATGCACGCA